GGTCTTGCTCAGCCAAACCCCCCCCCCCCCCCCCCCCCCCCCCCCCCTTATGTGTGATCATTAGTTCATTATTTTAAATACTCACCTCACTCTCTCAGACAATTTGTTTTTGTATTTGGCTAAACTGATCTACCTTTATCTTTATCTAGTTTTAGAACAGGTGCTTGGCACCTGATAGACCCACTCCATTCAGACAGACCCCGCCCCGGGGCCTTTCTGCATGGAGTTTGCTCTCCATAAGCATGCGTGGGTTCTCTGCGGGTACTCCGGCTTCCTCCCACAGTCCAAAAGTATGACTGTCAGGTTAATTGGCTTCTCTTGATTCTCCTTAGGTCTGAGTGTGTGTGTGAATGCTTGTCTTTCCTTTTTGTCTCTGTGTTGCTGTTGTGCCATGATTGTGGTTTTGGACATTAGGAACCTGTCATGATGGGTTCTCTAAGAGTAAAGCCCAAGATGCAGAACACACACAGAGGCACTGGTAAAAAGTCCAAAGAGTTTATTTTAAGGCACAAGCACGTGAATAACAGTTCAGGCGGGGGGGCTGATTCACTGGAGTCCGTGCAAGGAAAGGGTGAAGACAGGATTTGAGCTTCCAGCTCACAGCAGGGAACAACAGGGGTTTAGGTCTGAGGTTTCTTCTGGTTGAGCTTCCAGCTCACTGCGGGGAACAACGGGGAAAATCTACATGGGAACCTCTAGGGAAACTCCACAGAGAAGTCGTCAGGTTTCATCCATGAAGAGATCTTCGGGTTGGCTCACCAGGGCAGATTAGCTGGTTAGGCTTTTCAAGAGCTTCAGGCTTGAGACTGGTTTTCTGAGATGCAGCTCCTCCAGAGCTGCAGACCAGAGACTGGGTTCCAGGGAGGGTGCTCTTCTTGAGCTTCACAAGGAGACAGGAGGTTAAGCTCATCCAGGGCTTCACGAGGAGACAGAAGGTTAAGCTCGTCCAGAGCTTCACGAGGAGACAGGATTCCTGTGAGGCACAGATAAAGAGAGATCAGAATCTGGTCTCAACCTAGGAACAACCAAGACTCAGTCAATAGCAGAAGGTTCAGGAAGCTAACCAACTAAGATCAACACTGCGGCGTGGAATCCAGGTCTGAAGGCAGCTTAAATACTGTGGTCCTCCTGATTAGTAGATCAGCCGCAGGTGTGTGAGAGGCTCAGCTCAGGAGGACCCACGGCGCACTCTGCTGGAGGCAGAGGGTAATCTCCAGAACCTGACAGTGACTCCAGCCCTAAGGAAAAGACAAAGAGAGCAGAAGAGGATCCTCGGCGCCCTCTGGTGGGCAAGCCTGAGGATCCCAACAGAACCAGTGTCCATGTTTCATCTTGACATGATGACCGCAGAAGAGGAAGAAGTTTTTGGCTCATGGAGCAGCTGTGAGACCTCTCTTCTTTGCTCTGCCCCTGCAGAAAATTAAATTAAACTTGTGAAAATAGAATTTGATCATGTTCCAAATTCTTCCTGATAAATTTTGGTTTTCAAACACAAAAGCCATCTTAAACTGTAATATGGTTTTCAACCATGTTTCCCTTCCTCTTTGTACATAGTAGTTTACCGTAGTTTAGTTGAATTTCACTAGTTTTAGTCAAGAGTTTTTAACTGAAATATGTTTGACTTGGAGCTGAATGATTTTTATTAATAAACTCTTATATTTTGAACAGAAGTTGTGGTGAATTTATTCCATGTATTTGCAGAATTAACTGTTTGACCATGATTTGAGCCTGAGTCGCGATTTCATTTATTGTTCTAACACACAGCTAGTAGGACGTGTGTTCATAAACAATATATGACAATCCGAATAATATCTGATTAAAAAAATTATATTTGCCACCCCTACCAGGAAGGGCATAAAACATCTTAAAGTATCAGAACATATGAATTCCCAGCTGGCTGGGAACTGAATGTAATAGCTATTCACAACAGTTGCCCTGGAGGACTGGAGACCTGTCCAGGGTGAACCCTGCCTCTTGCCCGTAGACAGCTGGAGATAGACACCAGCACCCCTCATCCCTCAGCTGGGATAAGCGTGATGGAAAATGGATGGATGAATGAATGGAACGGGTGCTTCTTGCTTTGTGGTAGAGATTCCACTCATATCTATATTAAGCTTAGTTGTTTTTCCACTATTTTTCCCAACTAAAATAAGTCTCTTTATCCATTCGAATGATTTAGATAAGATGGTTAGAAATGGACACATTGTGTCAGGGTTAAATCTGCAAACTCATCTCTGCATTTGGGTCCTCATAAACCTCCACCCAGCCTGACAGATTGGCTGTTCCAACTGGACAATTCTTTGCTTTTATACCATAGAGGATGGGTAATCTCTACGTTCTTGTTAACAAGCAGCAAAATGTATTGTTTGAAACATTTTACTTTTTATAAGAATGTTGCTCAGGGATCTTTTTCTCCTACCCTTTAACTCATCAAAGTGATTATAAGTAAAGCTCAAACAAAGTGTCTAATTGACTTTTCACACCCAAACTCAGTCAAATATAACCCACATAGGAAGTTGTAAAAACACCTAAAAATGTTCAGAATGAGAATTTGCAACTGGAATAAAAGAAAAGTCATACCCTAACTTTTTGTTCATGCTAAAAGGTTAAAGACTCAATCATTATTTGCTGAACTACAGCCTTTGTTTCCCTGATCAGAATGAGAAATGCTTTATTACCATGTATTGCTTTGCTACACGTAAGATGAGTTTGTTTGGGTGATGAGATATTTCAGATGGAGTTGAAATAAATTATTTGATACTCTTTGAGACCTGATGCAACCTTCACCCCCTTTTCAGAAATCCTTACAATTAAGGTGACCAAACGTCCGTATTTCCCGGGTAAGGACATATCACGTCCTTACCCGGGACGCCCGGGTAAGGACGTGATATGTCCTTACCCGGGCGTCCCGGGTTTTTTTTAGAAAGTGAGGAAATGTCCTGATTTTTAAATTACATTAATTGGACCATTACATTTACAGGCACTAGGGCACTGCGCACGACGCTGCGTGTGACGTAATCCCTGAGCCGCGTCAGTGCGGGCAGCCCTGTTCTTAATCAGAATATAGATAGCATGGCTGTCAGTACGCCAAAAACACGCAAAAGCGCAAATGTATGTTTACCGATGATTTACAAAAGAGTTTCCCCGCTTTCAGACCGGGTCGAGACAAATGGGAGGCCTTGTGCACATATGTCTCGGTGTCCAATGGAGGTGCTAGGAATCTGAAAAGCCACCTGGACAACGAAAGTAAAGATAGTCTATTGATATGTTTGTTCGTGTTTGGTACATTTTGAATAATTTTTGCTACACAAGAGGTATTTTTTGTTAATTTGCTCATTTGTTAATTTATTTTTTCCAATAGCCTACAGGACAGACATTATTTCGTTCATTGCTGAGGCTGAGTATCATCTGTTATTGGGAATTGAGAGTTATTGTTAACTTTTATTGTTAAGTGAGGGATGTTTAGATGAGACATTAATTCTTTCATTGTGCTATTCATTCATTACAGGAATTGTTAAGCATTTTTAATAAATAAATTTTGAATGAAATTATCGTTTGTTATTGGAGTTATTGCTGTTGACGTTTACTGAAAAGCATTTTTAATAAATCAACTGTAAAGATCATGTTATTGTAGGATTACGTAGGTCTATGTTAAGTGAGTGCATGCAACAGACATCTCCCGCTCCAAGGTGTCCTTGTTTTCCCAAATGAAAGTATGGTCACCCTATTACAATTCTTGAAATGAAATAGTTTATTAACAAAGAACCCTAATAAGGAAGATTATTTCAGAAATCAAAATTTAAATTTTATTTCAGTTTAATATGGGGAAAAAAAATCCGATTTTTGACTTTAATCTCAGAATTCTGACTTTTATCTCAGAATTGCGGATCTTAATGTAGATGGGCACCATGAAGGAAGAGATGTGCGAGCACTCAGCTTTACTGACAAAGATTGAGTTTTTTGGAAGGGCCAGTTACACATTGGTGGAAAATTACACAATTAGGCGACTTTTTACGTGCCCCGGTGATGCTATTTAATTAATGGAAGAGCAGAAGGTGATTAAAACAAGAGACCTAATCTCTAAAACAGACATGGCTATGGATTGATGCTAACATGTTTGATAGCTGTCAGAATTCAGTCAGAATTCTGAGATTAAAGTCAGAATTCGGGGAAAAAAAGTCAGAATTCTGAGATTAAAGTCAGAATTCGGGGAAAAAAGTCAGAATTCTGAGATTAAAGTGAGAATTCTGAGAAAAAAAGTCAGAATTCTAAGATTAAAGTGAGAATTCTGAGAAAAAAAGTCAGAATTCTAAGATTAAAGTCAGAATTCTGAGAAAAAAAGTCAGAATTCTCAGATTAAAGTCAGAATTCTCAGATTAAAGTTAGAATTCTGAGAAAAAAAAGTCAGAATTCTAAGATTAAAGTCAGAATTCTGTGATTAAAGTCAGAATTCTGGAAAGAAAAGTCAGAATTCAGAGATTAAAGTAGGAATTCTGAGATTAAAGTCAGAATTCTGAGATTAAAGTAAGAATTCTGGAAAAAAAAGTCAGAATTCTGAAATTAAAGTCAGAATTCTGAGAAATAAAATCTGCATTTTTTTTAATATTATACTGAAATAAAATAAAATAAAAAAAATCAGTTTTTCAATGGCCATAATCCTATTCCGTACCTTAACGTCTATTTCCCCCCTAAAAATGTTCAGGATTGACATCAAATCAGAAGTCAGTCTACAAACCAACAGCATGGAGGCTCCTCTGGCTCAGTCTGAGGGGCAGAGATACTGATTGAAGCTGCGAGTCTAATTACACGCGTGGTTATAATGAGAAACTTCGCAGCGAGCTCGAGCTGCTCTGAACTGACCGATGATTGACAAACCCGAGCGCGCGCTCACTGAAAGCCTCTGACACGCGCACGACGGAAGGTGATCAAATGCTGACAACAGAGAGCACGGGAAGGTATCTGCGTGGGGAGGCATCTGCGTGGGGAAACATCTCCGTGGGACTCTCTGTGCGGAGGATTCTGATTGGACGCGTCCGGAGCAGCATCCACTGTGGATTTCATTTACATTTTTATTTTCAATCTGCAGTTTGGAAACATTCCCAGCTCTTCAGGACCCATGTGAGTTTGGTGACATTAGTATTTCTTATTATTTCATGTGTACATTTAGGATCATATTTTTTTCCTGTCAATGTTTTTGCTTTTTAATCGTTGGTTTCAGACCAAGAAGTAAATTAGAATAATTTGACATGATTCTAAATCCATAAAAATGTGTATAAATGATAGTGGTTTTTGCAGCGTAAAGTTGATTAAGCCTAATAATTATAGGGATTTATCTATGTGGTGAGAATTCATTGCTTTTCTTAGACATAATGCTGTATTTATTAAAAATTTTATCTTTTCAAATAAATCCATGTTAAGCTCAAATTTGATCAAAATTTTGATCAAGGGATGTTAAAAGACATTCCAACTTCCTTTAAAAACGTGATACATCTATTTATTTAGGCTAAATTAAGAACTCTAAATCAGCTCAGCCTTATTTAGCCTAGATGCTAATATTTTTAGTGTTTAAAACCTGCTAGTTGTAGGTTACATTAAGTCCATTTTCAGCACACCAATATAAACCAAGTGTCCCTTCTCAGTGGATGTGGCTCCTGATAGACTGTTGCAGTGAGCCATATACCAGCATGAAAAAAGTACCACTATTTTTAAATATGTAGTCAAGCCTAGTGGAAATTACAAGCCAATGTACATTTAAATGTTATTGTATTTAGATTCTACTAAAAAACTATGAAAAACAAAACAAACAAATACAAAAAGCAGTAAAACATTGTGTTTTTCCCCATTCAAGGCGAGATATATCTGAATATTAAAGGTTTGCTCTCACTTAGAATGCTCTAAGGTTATTTTTTCAATTCAATTCAATTCAATTCAATTCAGTTTATTTATATAGCGCCAAATTCACAACACATGTCATCTCAAGGCACTTTACAGTTCAACCAGATCATACAGTCAAATTGATACAAAGTTTTCTATCTAAGGAAAACCAGTTGATTGCATTGACTCATTGACTCAAATACAATCCCCCACACTAAGCATGCTTGTAGCGACAGTGGAGAGGAAAAACTCCCTTTTAACAGGAAGAAACCTCCAGCAGAACCAGGCTCAGTGTGAGCGGCCATCTGCCGAGGCCGACTGGGGTTCAAGGAGACAGAAGCAGAGATACAAAAAGCAGCTGTAAAAGGCGGCCCCGTCCAGGAAACACACAGCCAGGCAGACGAGCTCCAAGGCAGCTCCCATGCCAGAGGACGAAGAGAGCACATCCACTCAGTCACGGTCAGAGAAACAGGACCACACTGGAAAACAGGCCGATCTCCAACATCTATTAACAAGGGTGTTGATAGAAGCAGCACAGCTGATGTTTTTTTCCAGGATGACGTCACAGCCAAACAGGAACAGACGAGGCAAAGCTACTCTGAGGAAAAGCAGAGAGAGCAGAAGGTTAGAGATTGAACTAACAGATTCTGCAGAATAGGAGAACAGAGAGAGAATGAAGCAGAATGATGAAATGGGGGTCCCTATGTCCTCCAAAAGTCTAAGCCTATAGCAGCATAACTATAGAGATAGCTCAGGATAACCTGAGCCACCCTAACTATAAGCTTTATCAAAAATGAAAGTTTTAAGCCTAGCCTTAAAAGTAGACAGGGTGTCTGCCTCACGGACTAAAACTGGTAGTTGGTTCCAAAGGAGAGGAGCCTGATAACTAAAAGATCTGCCTCCCATTCTACTTTTAGAAATTCTAGGAACCACTAGTAAACCTGCAGATTGAGAGCGAAGTGCTCTGTTAGGAACATAAGGAACAATCAGATCTCTGATATAAGATGGAGCTTGGCCATTTAAGGCTTTATATGTGAGAAGGAGGATTTTAAATTCTATTCTTGATTTAACAGGAAGCCAATGAAGAGAAGCCAGGATAGGAGAGATATGATCTCTCTTTTTAATTTTCATTAGAACTCTGGCTGCAGCATTTTGGATCAGCTGAAGGCTTTTAACTACAGTTTGTGGACTTCCTGATAGTAAAGAATTACAATAGTCCAGCCTTGAAGTAACAAATGCATGGACTAGTTTCTCAGCATCACCCCTGGACAGGATATTTCTAATTTTTGCAATGTTCCTCAGATGAAAGAAGGAAATTCTAGAAACCTCTTTGATCTGGGATTTAAATGACAGGTCCTGATCAAAAATAACACCAATATTTTTTACTTTATTATCTGAAACCAGTTTAATCCCATCCAAATGAAGTGACTGGCTAATCAGTTTCTTTTTCAGAGACTCTGGTCCAAAGACTATAACTTCTGTTTTGTCTGCATTCAGAAGCAGAAAATTAAGAGTCATCCAGGTTTTTATGTCTTCAAGACATGCCTGTAATCTATGTAATGGGTTAGCTTCATCTGGATTTATAGACAGATATAGCTGGGTATCATCAGCATAACAGTGGAAATTAATCCCATGCTGTCTAACAATTCTACCAATTGGGAGCATGTATAAAGTAAAGAGAATTGGTCCTAGCACTGATCCCTGTGGTACTCCACAGGTAACCTTTGAGCGTGTTGAAGATCTATCATTAACATGAACAAACTGAATTCGATCAGATAGATAAGATTTAAACCAGTCTAGTGCTGTTCCTTTAATTCCAACAAAATATTCAAGTCTTTCTAAAAGAATATTATGGTCAACTGTATCAAATGCAGCACTAAGATCCAACAGGACGAGCACAGATACAAGTCCATTATCTGAGGCCATGAGAATATCATTACTGACTTTCACCAGAGCTGTTTCAGTGCTATGATGAGCTCTAAAGCCAGACTGAAACTCTTCAAAAAGTTCATTATGGTGGAAGTGATCGCAAACTTGTTTGGCAACTACTTTCTCAAGAATTTTGGATAAGAAAGGAAGATTGGATATAGGTCTATAATTGACCAAGTCATCTGGGTCAAGAGACGGTTTCTTAAGCAGAGGTTTAATTACAGCAATCTTAAAAGCTTTAGGTACATATCCCTGTAACAGAGATAGATTAATCACATCTAAAATGGAGGAGGAGATCAAAGGGAATACCTCCTTAAATAACCTGGTTGGAACTGGATCTAACATACAAGTTGAAGGCTTAGATGAAGACAATAATTTTGCTAATTCAGAGAGTTCAACTGGATCAAAGCAGTCTAAACCCGGTTCAGATTCCATGACTACCTCAGGTACAATCGCGGATAGAGGAGTGCTTATGATCTTATTTTTAATAAGATCAATCTTATTTATAAAGAATCCCATAAAATCATTGCTGCTAAGAGCAGGTGGAATGGACGGTTCAACAGAGCTATGGCTCTGGGTGAGTTTGGCAACTGTATTAAAAAGAAATCTAGGATTATTCTTATTCTCCTCTATTAATGAGGAGAAGTATGCTGCTCTTGCTTTACAAAGGGTCCTCTTATACAGCAGTAAACCATTTTTCCAGACTAGGAAGGACTCTCGCAGGCCTGTGGAGCGATATTTTCTCTCCAGTTTCCTAGCATTTTGCTTCAAAGTACGCAGCTCTGCATTAAACCAAGGAGCAAGCTTTCTATTTTTAACAGTTTTCATTTTCAAAGGAGCTGCATTGTCTAAGGCAATACGCAGATAACTAGCAACCCCATCAACAAAATCATCAACCTGTGAAGGGGAATAAGCTAAGCTTTTGCACTCTGCAGCACTGCTCAGTGACACAGAGCAGAGAGAAAGTGAAGCAGATTCTTTAAAATTTATAACTGCACTATCTGATAAAGATCTACTAAAATTGAACCTTCTTTTGGGGAAGGAGAACTCTGTTAAAGTAATCCTGAAGGTTATTAGAAAGTGGTCAGAGAGGACAGGGTTGTGAGGAAATACTGTTATTTCTTCACATTCTATGCCGTATGTCAGCACAAGATCCAAAGTATGAAGATGAGAATGCGTGGGACTATTCACATTTTGAACAAAGCCAATAGTGTCTAAGATAGCATTAAAGGCTGCTCTTAAGCTATCGCCTTCAATGTCAGCATGGATGTTAAAATCTCCCACTATGATGACCCTGTCAGTATTTAATACCAAATCAGAAAGGAACTCTGAAAACTCATCTAAAAATTCAGAGTAAGGACCTGGTGGACGATACAAAGTTACAAATAGAAGAGGTTTTCTTGCCTTGAAATTTGGATCAGGGAAATTAAGGGTTAAATGTTCAAAAGAGTTGTAGGAATTAATTGTTTTGGGAGTAATCAGTAAGTCAGACTCGAAGATTGTTGCTACTCCTCCTCCTCGCCCAGAACTTCTGGGGATGTGAAAATTTAAATAGCTTGAAGGAGTTGCCTCATTTATGCTCACATAATCCTCTTGCTGCAGCCAGGTTTCTGTAAGGCAAAACAAGTCAATGTGATTATCACAAATCAAGTCATTAACTAGTAGACTTTTAGAGGAAAGCGATCTTATGTTAAACAGACCGCATTTAATTGTTTTAACTTTTTCCCCAATTGGAGTTATTTTGATTTTAATTAGATTATCATGATTTACTCCTTTGGGAATCTTTGCTAATTTATTAGATTTTGGTCGTGGGCAAGACACTGTCTGGATGGAGTAAAGAGTGGGTAACAGTAGAGAAGCTGCAGAGATGTGTGTTAAACTACAACTCTGCTTCCTGGTCTGCACCCTGGGTGGTCAGGGTTTTGGAGGACTAATAAATGTGGCCAGATTCCTAGAAAGAAGAGCTGCACCATCTAAAGTGGGATGGATGCCGTCTCTCCGAATCAGACCAGGCTTTCCCCAAAAGGATTGCCAATTATTAATGTAGCCCACGTTGTTTTCAGGGCACCACCTAGACAACCAGCGATTGAATGACGACATGCGGCTAAACATGTCATCACTGGTCAGATCAGGGAGGGGACCAGAGAAAATTACGGAGTCCGACATTTTTTTGGCAAACTTACACACCGAAGCAACACTAATTTTAGTGACCTCCGATCGGCGTAACCGGGTGTCATTACCACCAGCGTGAATAACAATCTTACTGTATTTAACCTTATCCTTAGCCAGTAGTTTCAGGTAGGATTTGATGTCGCCCGTTCTGGCCCCCGGCAAACATTTGACTATGGTCCCTGGTGTCTCTAATGCCACGTTTCTGACTATGGAGCTGCCAATCACCAGAGTGGGCTTCTCAGTGGGTGTGTCACTGAGTGGGGAAAACCGGTTAGAAACGTGAACGGGTTGGTGGTGACCAGTGGGCAGAGATCCACGACTACGCTTTCTGCGTACAGTTACCCAATCGCCTGGCTGCTCAGGCACTTTTGGAGGACAGCTACGTGGGGGGCCTACTTCAACAGCCTGAAGCCTGGATTCTAACTCTGACACCCTCGCCTCCAAAGCTACAAAAATACTACACTTATTACACATCCCATTATCACTAAAGGAGGCAGAGGAATAACTGAACATCTGACACAGAGAGCAGGAGAGAGGAGAGGAAGAAGGAAGAGTTGGAAAAGAGTCAAGGGAGGGAGAGAGAGAAGCCATAGCAATGCTAAGCTAGCGCTAGCCTAGGCTAGCTACTTCTTGCTATCAGAAATAAAACCGTGTGAAACTGACAAGTGCTCAGTAGAAAAGTGCAGCAGAAGGTGCTATGTTTTAAAGTAGTCAGTTAGAGTTACTTAGATACAGAGATATCACAGAGAAAATAACTTAACTTCAGATGGAGATCCTCTGAACAGCTGCACACTCAGTTGCACACTCAGTTAATCCAAACAGGAAGATTAACTTTTTCAGTTGTTTATAGAAAAATCAACTGGACATTGTTTGGCTAAACAATATTTAAAAAGAAGCATACTCCAATAAACCTAACAAAAGAAAGACAAGAATGATTCCTCATTATTTATACTGAGCCTTTAATCCTGTTTGAGGTGAGGGCAGGGACTGGTAGGGATTGGAGCTGAGGGGCCAGTACATTTGTAGCTGTTCCCAGTTTTTGTGATAAAAAATATAAGCAGCAACCTTTTGTTAAAGCTGTTGAGACAAATTTCTTTCTAAAAGTGCTGTGCTGCCCACTTATCCTGATTAGTTTGTAGGTGTTGCTACAGGAGGTGCTGAAAGTTCAATACTTCAGATCTCCTTCTAATGCGATTTGTTAGCACCAAGTGTTTTTCCACATCGCCGAGCATCAAAGGTGGGTCCTCCTCAGCAGACAGCTCCATCCCTGGCAGCCTCTGTTTCTCACACAGCTTATCTAATTTCTAGTCTTGAAATGCAAATCAATGCAGATAAATCTTTGGCTTTAACTTCATGAATATGATGTGTGTATATGTTTGCTTTCTCTCCCTTCGGCAAAACAAGCCTCTTTGTTTCCAAACGAAATGCTGACTCCATGCTGAGAGTCGCAAAATAAACATCTCTTCCTGCTTTCCTCCTCCGGGCGTAATGCATCAGCAAAGTTCAGGATCTGACCTCAATTCCAGCAGTGACCTGCTGGCTTCTCACTGCAACTGGACAGCAGTGGACAGGACCCCACAGCTGCCTACTTTTTCCACAGCAGCGAAAGTCAGAGTGATCATTACCTTCACCCTGTGTGGCATATCTACTCTCTGCAATCTGGCTGTTCTCTGGGCAGCCAGCGGCCAGAGACGCAAATCACACGTACGCGTTCTGATCGTCAACTTGACAGCAGCGGATCTCTTGGTGACATTTATTGTGATGCCGGTGGATGCTGTGTGGAACATCACTGTCCAGTGGCTTGCTGGAGACCTGGCGTGTAGGTTTCTGATGTTCCTCAAGCTGCAGGCCATGTACTCGTGTGCTTTTGTCACCGTGGTGATAAGCCTGGACAGACAGTCGGCGATCCTCAACCCTCTGTTGACAAGCATGGCTCCCAAGAGGAATAGGATCATGCTGATGATAGCGTGGGCAATGAGTGCTTTGCTCTCCGTCCCTCAGGTGAGGAAATATTTTATGAGTTGTTTTGGAAAATAACATTTAAAAAAGGAAAAGCAGACAGAAAGTCAATAGAAATCTCTCAAACAGCTGATTTAGGCACAGGATTAAAGGTATACTAGAGGAATTTTATACATTTTTGAAAAGACCCACCCTCTACACTTAAAAAAAAATGCACATGCACAACCCTGTACCAGCTCCAAAAAAGGAATGTCACCCTAACCCCTAAATCCCTCAATCTATATAGAGCGGGGACTATATAGTGAACTTTATAGTGAAATCAGTTAACTGACCGTTCAGATAGATGATAACTGCTTTTTGCTCTGTTTGGTCACGTGCGCCATTTTTCTTATTAGTTGCCGATGTCGGGTTGCGACAGCCTATGGCGACAGCGGGCAGCTGTGACAGCAAATCCCATAATGCTTTGCGAGTAGAGCTCCCTGCGCAAAGCATTCTGGGTTATATCTGCCTCTTTTGAGGCCTTTCTTTTCTTCTCATACACTTCGTAGACACTTTTTCTCTTACAACCCTCGACCATTTTCAAAGAACGGCGGTGAGAAAGGTGAGCTTCAATGACTGTCTGAAACCGTAGCTCACCACCGAAATATGCCTGAAAGTGCGCAGAAAAATATAGCTAACGGGATGAACATTTAGGAAGGCCTTATGTAAACATATCACCAGAATGATTGACAATTAGGAGAACCACTTATTAAGATGATCCACCTGGAAATAAAAGATCGTCCTCTATACCTTTAACCTCCTACATAAAGACACCGGAAATACAGACCAATTTGAAAATATTATTATTTCCTTATTTTATTTAGTGTATACATATATATATATATATATATATATATATATATATATATATATATATATATATATATATATATATATATAGAGAGAGAGAGAGAGAGAGAGAGAGAGAGTTATTTTCGTTAGACAAATATTTAGAAAAAAAATAATCTTTTTTTTTTTTTTTTTTTACAAAAATATCTCTTAAAAACTAATCAAAATGAGCAGAAAAGGTCCTGGTAATTTGCTGCAAGGACCTTTTCTATTTTCTTTTTACGGATTTTTTTTTTTTTTTTACAGTGTATTCTATATTGTTATCATAGTATTCAACAAAAATGTTGCAGTTGCATGAATTTTTATATATATATATATATATATATATATATATATATATATATATATATATATATATATATATATATATATATATATATATATATATATATATATATATATATATATATAATATCAATATATATATATATAGGGTTTTTTGTCCCGTGAGAAGAGTGGTGGCACAAGGAGGTGTTATAGAGCTTTTGTTTTCCATTTTTATGTGTTATTGAAGAAATATCAGACTATGGTAATATTTCTAACTGGAAAAACTGAACAAAATTTATTTTTGTATACACTCTGTGTAAAAAATGACAATAAAGTCTAAGTCTTAAAAAAAAAAAAAGCAAAAATAATACCTAAACACAGTAAGTTACTATCAATGGAACTATGTATTAACTAAAAGCATGATTACCTAATTCCATATCCTGTAAAGGAGTGAAGGGTAGAGCCAGTTAGAAAATGAAGAGTTTTCTGCTGGCTAAGTGTATAAAACTGATGAACTGCCTTCACAGTACCTGTTCTGAATTGCTTGGTGATCTTCAGGCAAAAATCACACTGGAAAAAAATCTAAATCTAGATAAGTCATTTTTTTCCTTAAAATAAATGCATATTATCCAGTTATCATATCTTAAGAGTAGAAATAATCATTCTATTGACAAACTATCTCATTTACCTACTCAAATTAAGAGTAAATACACTTAATTTAAGAAATTTTTATTTATTTCTAGATCGTTTTTCCGGTGCAAACAATTCTGCAAAAAAACACATCATGTCTTGAGCACGAAAAAGAGGTTTCAGCAAAGGGTCGACAAACAGTAAACAGTGTTCTTCTGTTGTGTGAGTATATAGCGAGGAGACCTGGGAGGCAGAGCACAGCCAGGTTGGCAGGATTCTTCAAAGAAAAAGAGAATAAACAACACCCAAGACCTCCTGTATGCTTTACAGCATTACAAAGAGTCAGATATCAACTTGTAGGCAGGGGGGGATTTACCATTCTGCAATACTAGGGCCCAAAGTTCCTGGGGGCCCAAAAAACATGTATATCGTTCTTTCATGTGTTAATGTGTATGGTTAATACAGCTATTCCTTATTTTTGCACATTAATTATGTTTTTGATAAAAATCCTTTCGCTAAAATGCTATCGGAACGCTTATAATATTATGTGTTTCTCAGCCCCCCCTTCAGTGTCCACCATATTGGATCAGTCCATTTGCTGCACATGTTCAGAAAGGTCCAAACAGACAGCAGCAAACCATTTGTGTGCTTTTGTCGTTATATTTAGTGACTTTTCAGACCCCTCTAGTTCTATTATTTCAAAAAAGCGCCTAGCGCCAAGTCAAGCAACTTTTTTCTGCTACTGGAGACTTTACCGACAACATCTAAAAGCAGCGAACTCTGCTCTCCAGAGCAAGTAGATTGGTAACCCCGCCTCCTGCTCTCCTCTATCTTGTCTGCTGTCATGATTCATGCAGGTATTATTTCATCCAAATGAAAAATGGAGAACAGATAAGCAGATCATGGCTTGTCTACACTGAAAAGAAGGACTGGGTTATTTACTTTGGCCTTTTTGGAAACACAGGAAGGAGCAATCAACTAAGTGAGCTTAGTGCTTGGAAAAAATCTTTCATTCCTTTGAGACAGCATAAAAAGTCAGCTGAGTACAAAACATAGAGAGGAAAACAACAAGAAAAGGGACAACAGACAACATAGAAATAAAAACAACAAGAAAAGGGACTATAAGAGAGGGACAAATATTGTATGTCTATTCTATTCAAATTTCTCTATCTGTATAATGGTTCTGTTTTATGTGTTTTCTTCCCAATTCAGAGGGCCCCTGTCCTTGCCTAGGGCCCCAAATTTCCTAAATCTGCCCCTGCTTGTAGGTATCTAAATATGTATGTCATTACATTAGTACATTTTTCAGTTTTTATTTTGTAATGTAGACAAAATATTTCAGATAGCGATGGTTCATTTCAAAAACGAATTTATTGATACCAAAGGGAAATCAAATGTAACTCTTATAGGGGTTTGTTTTAGGAGTTGTAGATGTTTATAACTGTAGGCTGGAAGGATCTCTTGTAGTGATCTATCTTACCAAGGCCTGATAAAAGCTTCTGAAAGAAAAGACTTCTGGATCTTCACAGATTCTAAATAAGAGGTGCTGAATTGCATGTTTTCAATAAGTGGGCGTGTTGCAGGTGATTAACAAAGATAGCTGTTTAAATGTTAAGACGTGGAAACAATTTTATTTCTGCCCATGAAAATGAGCAGATTGTGTGTACTACTGGCATCATGAGAGTTGTCATAGAAAGATGAGATTATTATTATTATTATAAGTAATATTTATTTTTCCACTGCACTGAACTTTTTAATATTAATGCCCTTTTGCACCATTATTTTAAACTGGTTTCTTTTTCTCCTGTATTGTTATATTCTGATCCCTGCTCCACTTTATATTGGTAATGTTTATCTACTCCAGCTGCAATATCATTACACTGTTGTGAGTCGTATGCAACAACATTTGGTTTTGTATACACAAAATGACAAAGTTAGTCTAAGTTTAAGTTTAAAGCCATTAAGGGAGGAAATAATGATACATTTTAAACAATTTATGATAAATATTGGTAGTGCATGTCATAACCTCTACCACCTTTAGTGCTATGACTAAAATAAGAGAAAATAAAACATAGCTGTGTTTTGTGTACTTGTTTTTCCCAACTGGTGGGGACAATTTGCTGTTAAACCTCAGCATCGTGGGGACCAACCGTCCTTATGGGGACCTCCACCAGGTCGCCTTGGGGGAGGTTATTGTTTTAGGTGTTAGGTGTTAGGTTTTGGAATAAGGTGTGAATTGAGTTTTGTATAGGGTTAGGTGTGTACCTGTATTGGTTAGTTTAGGGTAAGTTAGTTTAGGCTGTAGAACTCAGCTAAAAACAGTGTTGGGACTAACACACCATTAAGCGATGGGTTACAGTAAATATGTTACTTATCAACATGTAAAAGTCAGCAACATGTTAGTCTTTACTATGCTTTAAACTGATTTTTTATTTGTTAATTTGTTTATAAATAAGGACTTCAGTTTCCTGGTATAAGTGCATGTTGGGCAAGCAACTGCTAATGGCAACTTCAGCATGAGCACAGAGGAGAGACGATGGGGTAGAGCCACTGATCCAATGACAGTGTTTCTACTGGACAAGTGCTCAGTGGGAGAAGCTGTTCCTGGCATTGGGTGGGGTTCTGGGATGTTGCATTGTTTGGCCCCTTCCTTTTAGGAGAACCGTCTGTACAGCAGGTGGGATACAATCACCATGCCCGAATGCATCTCAGCTTGTGGTCTCGGTTTGCCTTGCTGCCGGCCCTGAGCCTGCATGCGGCCTATGCCCACAGTCAGGTGAAGGGGCGATGGGGGGTGTCTGGCACCTGCGCTTGGGTGGCTGGCGTGCTGTACTTGGCTTAGAGAAGTGGACTAGCTGGGTGTCGTTATTGCCTGGAAGCCATCGGTTTAAGAAGATGATATGGAAGTGGGGGCCTGGAACGGCTGTGACTGGCAGGAAGCGGGGTGGGCTCTTTGGCTACATGTTCTGGCGTCTGTGGGGGCAGGTGTGTGGTTTATGGCGGGATGCCTTAGGGGGCCCTGGCCGGCATTATTGGGGTAGGTTGTGCTTCCTGGGGGATAGCCTGGAGTGTTGTTTGGGGTAGTCCTGGGCTACACAGCTGCCCTTCGTCCTAATCTGACCGCTCCCTCTTTTTTTCCGTTTGTCCCAAAGCAGTGTGGGGGTCTGTGGGCCGGTTCCCCCAAAGGTTATTGGCCCACAGACCCGGGGGGATAATGTATGTATGAGGATTGTAACAATATGTTTAGTGTCTGCCTC